TACAACAGAGACCCTGACCCCGAGGGCCGTGGCGGCGGTCGTGGCTTGCTCGAGATGGCCGGTCCGACCTTTCAGCAGTGGATCCAAGAGATTGAAGATCTCGTCGAAGAGCGTGACGCCGAATTGACAAAACAAAAGGTAAGCAGTGACACAACGAACGTGGCGTGGCGCCATCCATGCAGGCAGAATTTGTTCCTAACCTGCCTTGTTTCTCCCCCACAGTTTGAGTACGAAAAGAAGGCGCAGGAGCACAAGAACACCTATGCCTTCAAGACCGACACGGCCAACCGCGAGCACCGCCAGCTGTCCGCGACGCTCCGAGAGCGTCTGTCGAATGCGATTACCGCGAAGAAGGTCCGCCTGACCAAGGAAAAAGAAGCCCTCGAGATCTCTGACGCCTCGGCCCTCCTCCTCCACCCGAACCAGTTCTCGATTGCCAACCCCTCCAGCCCTGGCGGCACACACAGCAAGCGCACCACGCGCCTGCGGCAGACGGCCGACGATTTGTCGGGCATCAGTGATACACGGAAACGGAAGCGGAACGGCGCCGACGACGATGGCTCGCCCGCACCACAGCGCCGCGCCGATAACAACGGCACGACGCCCTTCTGGCAAGGCGATCGTCTGGCGTACCGGAAGGTCACGGGCCCGGTGTACAGCATCGACAAGCTCTTTACCGACAAGGAGCTGGCCATGACGTACAATGCTGCCGCGCTCGCGTCACACAAGTATCTGCTGTCGCACCGCACGAAGCTGAACAGCAACGGCGAAATCATTTCGTCGGCGTCGGACACAGAGTCGGGCGACCACGACGACGACGACCGCGACGCCACGCCCGCGGCCGCCAGTATGGAGCGCGTGCCGTCGCATGCCACGCGTAGCACGCGTGGCGGCAACCACCAGAACCAGCAGGCGGCCAACTTTGTGGACGACCGGCTGGTGGGTCTCGAGGCGCTGAACAACTTTGAGATGCCAAGCAACCTCGAGAAGCTGGTGGTCAACGAGCCCAAGATGCCGCCCATGTTTATGAGCAACTACGCCAAGCCGCACTCTAAGATCGATGCGAACACGCCGACGACGCTTTCCAGCGACGACGTCAGCTCCGACCTCTCGGTGATCAAGCTGCTGCGCCAGTACGAGCGCGTGCACGGTGCCGGCTCCAATTTTGACAATGCCAATGGCGGCCGCAAGGTGCTCGAGGCCACGGCCTTTTCGCCTCACGACAGCCGCTACGTGGCATACCTGCGGCACGAGCGTGACGACCCGGACGATCTGCGCAAGGACTTGCGCCTGCCGACGAGCGCAGCGCGCGACGAGCCGGTCACGCCGGGCCACCATAACGAGCGTGGCAGCGGCGGCGGGGCTACCCTCTCAGCAGCGGCGGCCGTGTCCAGCGCGGCCTTGCACGCCACGCCCATGAGCCGGCAGAGCAGCCAGGGCGGCGCGGCTATGAGCCGGCAAGGCAGCAATACACGGGCGCAACGGAAACGGAACCAATAGGTCCCAGTTGTGTTTGACTGATGCGTGTGTGCTTTTTGGTTTTTATATGTCTCGGCTGTTTTATATCCTTTCGTCTGCGTTTCTAGCATTTGTGTTTTTCTCAATCACGGATTTACGAGGGCATGGCTGGGTTGTGCAAGTGGATGGTAATACAGCGAATCGTACTGTGGTTCAGGCACGCTACGACTGGTTGTCTCTTTCTGCGTGTTTCCTTGTGTCAGCATGGCAAGGCTGGCTAGCCTTGCGTTTCTTATGTGCACCATGTGTACTTCCTTTTATCGTCTTTGCGTCTTCGTATGCGTTTTTTATTCTCCTCCCAATCGCCCCCTTGGCCCATTTCCTTTTTATTTTTGTCTTGTTGTGTTTTTGGCAACACACAATGCCGACTTTTCTTGCCGTTTTACGTTTTGTATTTAATGGCGTTTAGAGAGATGGGCTCGACATCATCGGACAATGCAGGAACGTCCTTATTTCTTTTCCATAATCGCGGGCCATCGAGAGATAGCCTACATCTCACAATACAGTTGCACTTGGACATTGACAACTCTAGTAATACAATACGCATCGTAGTTCCGGGTAATTGTAAGACTCCATCCGCGACGCAGCTATTTTAATCCTGTCCTGCCGTTCGTACTCCTGTTTTCGAGATGCTTCCAATGGCCCTGGGAGATGCGTGACGTCCCCGTAGTCATACATTGTGCATTGGCGGCTTTGTCAGACTGCGGCCGATGCACGGTTTCACTGGTCGCACTAGTGCGAAGTCATGGGCCATAAACGGAAGGACCAGTCGCGAGTGACCAAATCCGCGATTTTGGTAATCTGGTAACACGTCATTTCGCAAAGGACGTCGTCAGCTCTCAGAATCTTGGCCAGCTGTACGCCAAATCCCGACTGACTCGCAATGATACGCTGTACAGAGGAGTGCTCCGTATGTCACACCTGGTACGCCCTATGAACGACAGAAGGCTCAGGCAGGAGTGCAGGACACGCCACGATTAGTCGTGAGGATCCGCGCTTTCAGCTTGAAGCCATAATAACGAAGAGTCTCATAATGAATGGGCAGTATGTTGTACTACGTTGATTCATGTTCAACTGTTTGGCAGCGTCATAATCGAATCACAAATACGGACGCCGGAGTACTCCGTTTCCAAGACACATATTCTTCCCCGCACTGGCCCAACGCCTTGTGATATTGGCTGCCGATGGCGTCTTTGCGGTCGCTCGGCGGCCATCGGGGCGATCATTAATAATACTAGCAGGTCCGCTGGGGCAAAACGTCTCCCCATCACCTTAACGTCTTGCAGTTGGACGCATGGTGCATCTCGAAGCTGGTTGGCCGGCACACTTGAGTGTTCTAGTGGCTATTTGAAATCAACATTGATTTCCAAGATGATGATGCGAAGCCTTTTGTAGAGTATAATATAAAAGGAAAGCGTCGTCCTTTTCAGACTTGCGTTGGAGGAAGCGAATATCATCAACAATTATCCTCGTCGACAGCCACTACACATTACCAACTACCACTCTCCATCACACGAAAGACCACGACTACATATATTCCTCAATTACTATCACACGGTAAAATGGCCATTACTGCCACGACTGAGCGCGTCCCGCGTGGTGACGTTATTGCCCCGCTCAACTTCTTCTCTCCTCCCGCTGACGGCGCCGTGCCTTTCAACTATGTCGACACGCCGCCGGCGGGCGAACCCCAGCGCAACTTTTCGGATGCGACCCACGACGTTGTGATTGAGGACATCCGCGGCCGCGAGGCTGAGTTTGCCAGCTCGCCCGAGTCGCTCGACAAGAACGCCTTTTTGGTCGTACAGAACCAGCCGCCGTCGGCCGAGACGGAGTGGCTGGACGACGAGTCCATCCGCAAGAACTACTACCCGGAGGTCGAGGCCTTGTTGCTCAAGAACGTGCCGGGCAGCACCCGCGTCGTCTTCTTTGATCACACCATCCGCCGCCCGCAAAAGGCCGAGGCTGCCTCCGGCCCTACCCGCGGTCCTGTCCTGCGCGTCCACATCGACCAGACCGCCAAGGCCGCCGCGGACCGCGTGCGCCGCCATTTGCCCGCCGACGAGGCCGAGAAGCTGCTGCAGGGCCGTTTCCGCATCATCAATGTCTGGCGCCCGCTCAACAAGGGCCCCGTCGAGTCGTCGCCGCTGGCGTTTGCCTCGTCGGCGAGTGTCCGCGACGAAGACGTCATTACCGTCGAGCACCGCTACCCCAAGGAGCGCAACTTTATCGGCCAGACGGCCGGCATCCAGTACCACCCGGACCAGAAGTGGCACTATCTGAGCGGCATGACGGGCGACGAGCGGCTGCTGCTCGAGTGCTTTGACAGCGAGGCCCTGCGGCCGGGCAACACAACTGTCCAGGGCGGCCGGCTGGCGCATACGGCTTTCAGCGACTCGCGGGCGCTGCCAGACGCCGAGCCGCGCGAGAGCATCGAGGTGCGGACGCTGGTGTTTGGTCCGTGAGGTTGGAAGACATGACGTGTTGTAACGATTCATAATGATTGGTTTTGCAGGCCTGTGATTTTGTGTACGTTCTTTTGTTTTAGATATCGTGTTCAATTTCATGTTGTATTTTAATATTATAATATTTCAGTATGTTTTGTGTTGTTTTATTTTGGAAAGAAATATACCGAATATCATGTCCTTGGGATGAGTAACTTCAGGAAGCATGTCGACGCCAAGATGTGTATTGGCTTTGAACATTCTGATCAGAAAGGTTGTTAATTCGTGTTTCCGTTGTAAGGTACTTCGTATTGCAGTCTGCCAAATGGTTCACTACTTCGCGCCGGCTTTCTCGAGTACGCCAGGCTTCACTGGCTCTTGCGCTAATTGTGCCAATCGTGCCACATACCAGGCATTGCCTGCAGAGAGCCGTTGCATTTTACTGGGGAAGGAGCCACCTGTTCGACGTGCCTGTTCTTCAGGGCTCCTGCCGAATTGGCGGGGTACGCGTTCTGCCTCCGTTTGTCACGCTAACCCAAATAGGGTAATACAGTAAACACCTATAGCGCGTAGCATGCCCGTAGCTCCTTCCGTTTTTATGGTGTCTGCTGTGCTCTTGCTGTTTGGGCAGAGCTTAAGCATCGTCAACTTATTTTTTGCCCACCATTGTTTTTTCGCTCTCCTGCCTCTCTTCTTATTTTCTCACCACCACGCTTATTTCTCAACTTTAGAAACACGCTTTTGAGAACAGTACGATTGCCTTCTTCAACATCACCATTTCTCGCGTCCACGCGATCTTTCGATCCCTTATGCGCATCGTTCGCAAGATCCCTTTCTTACCCATATCCAACGCGTCTCCTGCTTCGTTCAATTGATCGTCGCTTCGCGACCGACTCTGGTCTTCTTTCTTTGGTTGCGAAGCGTTTCATCACCTTCACCCACCATCCTTCTCTTTCTATTTTACGTGACGTTCACAATTGTGGCGTTCCTCGTCCCTCCCTCGCCTTCTGCGTCTGCCCTCGCCACAGGCAGTTCGCAATGGAGACTCCATCACGGGGCTCGGCGTCTTCGCCTGACCCTTTGAACGAACGCGATGACGATGCTGCAACACTTCCCATGCTCTCGTCCGCAAGCCGGCCTATCACGCGGAGCCAACGCTCGAACAGCATGTACTCTCTGGATCCTCACAACCGCATGCACCCGTCGCGGTTCTCTTCGCCACGCAAGCAGACCTTCCACTTGGACGTGGGCAGCAATGTCTCGCCCCAAAAGATTCGCGTCACGGTCGAGACCGAGGACAATGCAGCTGACGGTATCGACGGCCAAGACAGCCTCGCCGACGACATTCCCGACATTGCCGATTTTGACGAGGGGAAGGTTAGCCGCCGTCTCTTCCCTGCTTCGACGCCCGTCCCCTCCCTTCCTCTCAAAACCTCATCCGCCGCCGCACCGGCCTCTTCATCGCGTCGCCGCCAGAGCAGCCCCTCTCCCTCCAAGGGCTCGCCTACAAAGACCTCTGCCACCCGCCGGAAGCCTCGATTGTCGACCACGATGACCACTAAAGTGCCCCTGCGCGGCCTCTCCGACGACGAAGGTGAGGATGCTTCCGAGACGACTGGCATTGCCGCTACCCCCAAGCCCAAGCGTGGCCGGCCCCGTCGCTCCGGAACTCCGAAGCCCCTGACCACAATCGTTGAGCCGTCTAGCCCCATAAGTGCGACTTCTGCTTCTGCTGCCAAGGTTGCCTCGTCGCCCTTGAAGCGCGGTCGCAAACCAAGAGCCGCGACGCCCAAGGCAGAAGAGACAACAGGCGATGAGCTTGCATCCGTCGAAGCTACACCCGCTTTGTCCAGCCCGGCCAAGCGCACACCCAGAGCCGCACGCAAGACCGCCACCCCCAAGGCCACCCCGAAGGCTACCCCCAAGAGCGCCCCTAAGAGCACTCCTAAGCGCACACCGAAGCGTACTGCTAGCTCCGCTTTCTCGGGAAGCGAAGCGGAGTCTGCCTCGGAATCGCGTCCCACCAAGCGTGGCCGTGGTCGCCCTCGCAAGGCTATGGTCCCTGACGAGATGGCTGCTATAGCAGAGAATGTGCACGAGGAGCAACTGCAGGAGGAACGATTGGCCACGCAGCCGCCCAACGGGCCACGGGCTGAAGAACCCCAGAAGCGAGCGGAACTTGGCGTTTTCGCAGATGGAACTGCATCGGCCTCCCCGGACCCTATTATGGACGACTCCGATGCAATCACTGCGCATCCCTTGCATGCCCCGACCCCGAACACGATTCGCAGAATGCGGGTGGCTGTCTCTCCCGCGCCGACTACTCTCTCGTCCGTCGACCTGATCAGCGTCCAGACGCCTGCCCGGCCCACTTTTGACACCGAGCCCGCTAGTATCGTTGACGACGAAGAGAAGCATGATGGGGACGATCTCGAGCGAACGTCTGCCGATGCTGATGATACTGCTGATGCCCCCGCTGCAGCCGACCAGGATTCCGGTGAGGACTTTGCCTATGGAGCACCGTCTGCCGATGACTACTTTAGCGACAACGGATTCGGAAACTATGATATCCCTGAAACATTTGATCACAGCGATGACGCCGTGGAGACTGCTTCTATCAATGCCACGTCACCTGCCCCTGTCACAGGCGGTGTTCATGAAGAAGAGGTGCAGACCACTCACACAGCGCACAGCGCAACCGTTACCCTTGTGGAGACCGCCGATGTCACAGACCAACCCGGTGAAGACATCATTGACCAGGCTGCCCCCCCTAACCAAAGTGACTCTGAGGATGAGCTTGCTCCTCCAATTGTCTCCCATAGTGATGCCATTGAGAGTACCACCGATGCGCCGGTCTACAGCGAGGACCTCCACACTGCCACACCCCGAGTCGCTCAAGCACGTGTTCTCATCACTCCAGACACACTGTCGTCTCCCATGATGGAGGCGCCTACTTTAACCATCACCAATATCATGTACACTGGTGCCCTAGCGGAAGAAGAACAAGCTGCTGAGGCCAGCATACCCCCCGCCGCTGCCGAACGCGTCCAAGATGACACCTTAGTTACGGGCAACCGCAAGAATGGTAAGACGAAAAGCTCAGTCCCCGCTTCCAATACTCTCCCAAATCTCATGTAAACTCACTAACGCCAGACACAGGTCCCCCTTCGCGCAGCCCAGATTCGCAACATAGTCGTAGTGATCAGGCACATCCCGATGACAGGATGCTCTTCTCCAGCGTGGAATCACCCTTCGGTCATGAAGCCTCTAACCTCCGTGATGCCCAGCTGGCACAGAGCGATGTGACCGCCCCCGATAGCGAAGGTGACGACGTCGACGCTGTCCTCCTTGGAAGTACTCATGACAACGAAGCTGATTCGGACGCCGAGTCTGAATTGGCAGGCGCTGCTCCCAATGTTCGCGACATGGACACCATTGCCCAGGGTGAGGACTTCAGCATGATTGGCGTCGAGTCGCTGCAAACTAGCTTCCGTACGTCCAACGATGAAATGCCCGCAATGGGCGAGATGACCAGCCGCATTGTCAACCGCTCTCTCCAATCCGTCCGCCAAGGCAACCAGCCCACTGAGGCCCACGACAACGATGGGCTTAGCTACCTGGACTTCATCTATCAGTCCGACTCCCCCGCTCCCGCCTCCGTCCCCGCGTCCGCTGCAAAGTCGTCCCAGATCACGCAGAGCGCGACCCTCTCAACTCACACAAGAGAGAATGCGACTGTGCAACAATCTTCGCCCGAGGCGAAGTCCGATTCTCCCCGCAAGAAGGACGAGTCTCTGCGGGAGGTCATTGCGCGGAAGTCGCTCCTTGACGCACATGGCCCATCCGCTACTCCTCGTGTTGTCGCTTCTGTTGATAAAGCCCCCAAACCGGCCAATCCAGAACCTCAGCAGCAGTTTAACAACCAGGAGTATGACGACTCCTTTTCGGAGATTCCAGACTCTGTGCTTGAAGCGGCGGTCCCGCAGACCATTACATCCACCACTCCTTTCTTCTCTCGGCACCAAGCTGAGCTCACTGGACAGTTCGCCATGGGCAGTGCCCGTGCTAACGCCAACGTCGAAGCCGTCGAGCCGCACCATGAAGGCCAAAGCAGCCCCATTGACGCCACAGCTGAGAATGACTATCAAGCCGCACATAGCCAACCGGACGTGGAAGCAGAAATTACCTCGTCGCCCCCCATCCACTTCGCTCGTGCCCAGCACGCTGCTATCTCTGAGCAAGCTGCCCAGCGTCCACGCCTCTTGCACGAGATCCGAACAACTCCCGTGGCGTTCCAGTCGCCGCGCTACCCCGTCACTGCTGACCAGAACGACTACCTCCGTGTCCCCTCTGAAGGCTTTCGTCCTAGTCTTTCCCCCATTGTTCGTGCAGGTCGTGCTCTGCAGAATGTCACTTCCGACCCACCAACGCCCAAGGAGAATGAAGGCTTTTTGCGCAGTCCCTTCCGCAGCTCAGTTGCTAGAGACACCCAGTCGCCCGCAGCAGCCCAAGGCCATGACTCTAGCAGTCCTCAGCCTGCTGCTGACGAGGGCCCTATTCAGGACCAGCTTCTCCGCGAGCAAGGAAGTGAGGAGGACGATGAAGTTGCTGGCCATGCGGAACAAGTTACTCTTCACACGGACGCTACGGACGTTATAAGCCCTACTGTTGCTGAAGATGACAACGTCGGGGATGATAACGTCGAGGATGACAACGCTGTAGGTGCCATTAGTAAAGAAGACGATCAAGACGATCAAGACGATCAAGACGATCAAGACGATCAAGACGATCAAGACGAGGAAAGCGAGCACGAGGAAGTGGTTGACGAGGAGCCCAATGAGGGGCCCCAGGCGATTACCCCGTCACAACAGTCGCATCCAGCCGCCACTACGACCCAGCAATCTCCAGCCTCCATGCCAAGAGCTGCATGGAACATGGCCAAGGCACCCTTTTCCGGATTCAAGAACCTCGTCTTGAACGGCGCACAGGTCATCTCGCCCCGTCTTTCAGTCTCTGCTCCCGATTCTGGCTCTCCAGCCTCTCTTCCACCTTCGACCCCCGGTGGTGTTCAAGGTATCTCACCAACTCCGGCAGCCCGGCCTGCGCAAGCGTCTCCGCAGAAGCGTACTGCGTCCGAGGCAGAACTCGACGCTCAGCCCAGAAGCTCTGGTCTGCCCGGTCCGCGCACCGTCAAGCGCCTACGCATGCAGACTCCGGCCCGTGCTAACAACGTGCAACCTGGCTCTGGCAGCGACACGAACCGATCCTGGCGGTCCTACATTTTTAGGGAGAATAGCGTCGCCGGCTCGATTACTGGTTTTGCTACGAAGCTGATCTCTCGGACGCCCCGCAATGATAACCACCACCGCGAGACTGAGACTAGTGCCGATACCGAGGCCAATGCCCAAGTCGAAACAAATTCTGAGGATATTGAGATCAGTACTGGCAACGAGGCCGCAGTTGATGCTGAGGACAACATGGACGTTAATATCGTCTCCTTGGCTGAAGCTGATGTTGACGCCGAGGACAACATGGTTATTAACACCGCCGCGCTTCCCGATATCAACACCACATCTGAGAGCAGACCCAAGGCGACTCTACTGACCAGCGAAGCGAACTCGACTCAGTACGGTTCCGATGCTATAATGTCGATGATCAACGACATCAGTGGCGAGGGTCAAGATGTTCATGCCATAACTGAGATTGAGCCTGATAGACAATCCGCCCAAAGCGAGCGGGACGTGCAAGACGAAGACGACGTGGGCATGGATACCTTCATTCCTGGCGAGCAGGCCCAGATCCATGTGGAAGCGTATCCGTCGGAACATTTCGACGACGACGTCGACATTTGGGCCATTGAGGCAGAGCGTACGACCCGATTTGCCTCGACGAAGTTGCAGCAGCATCAACCCATCGTTGTTCCCCGCTCATCTGAACGATCTGCTCCCATTGCTGAAAGTTCGCCGATGCGGGATCCTAGGGTCACTCGCATCCAAGGACAGGAAGCAAGACGTGCTGCACGGAAGCAATGGCCTGCCCCAGCGGCGCTTGGTTATGACCCTGACCGCGAGAAGTCTCTTGTCGAGGAGGACAGTGTCGAAAATGAGGAGGCAGACGAGCTCCAAGGCCCATCGTCTTCAGTTAAAAACTCACCTCGTCCGGCCGGTCGCTTCAATCTCGATGACTTTTTCTCGTCCCCGGTCGCCCTGCCACGCCAATTGCCGCCTACGTCGAAGAAGAACATCCAGTACAATGAGGAGAGCCGCCGCCAAGCTATGGAGCAGTTCCTTGAGCACGAGCGCCGGCGTGAGGCACGCGAGGCCCTGCCCCAGTCCGCCACCGTACAGAAGCAGAAGCAGAGCCGCCTAGTAGCTCCTCCTCGAACAGCCAATCGCTCCTTTGTCTCCTCTTCTGAGCCAGACCTCAACGAGCAGCCAGATTCCATTGGAGAGCTGGCTGCTACGAATCCTCCTAGCGAGCCCATTCCCGAGGCCGCTACACCTACTCCGGAGGCAGATGCGCTCGGCGCGCTGCCTCCCACCAATCCTATGACGTCCAACAAGAAGGCGTCACCTGCTACTCCTGCTTCTGCTGACTCCCGGCAGCTGCAGCTCGGCAGCGGACGCAGCCGTTCGTCTAGAGGAAGCCGGCCTTCTGAAGGTGACCGCATCATTGAAGAGGAGGATGCCCTTGAACAACTTCCTGCGAATCCTAGTGAAATTCGCAGGCGTTTCTTGCAAAACTTCAAGGCCAGTACTACGGTCACGGCCAAAACATCCAGCGTTGCCTCGGCATCTTCCCCCCCTGTTGCTTCTGCTGCCACCGCCGACCAGCTGGCCGCCGACCGCCAATCCCCAGAGACGGCGTCTGGGTCCAAAGAGAACCAGCCTCCTGCCTCGGAATCTCGCCACTCACGGCCACTCGTCGACTCTCCTGTCGCATCACCTGTCGGGTCGCCTGAAATTTCGCCACTAGGCTTACCTGCACCGGTCAACCAAGAGCTAGTGGCTCTCATGTCTTCCGAGGCGCCCCGGAAACGGTTTATGTTCAGTCGACCGAGCTTGGCTCACCCGAGCCTTGCCCGCCCACCACGCACAGAACGCAACAGCTCGCTGCAGTTCATCACGCCAAAAAAGCCTGCACCCCAACCAGTCAAGTCGACGGCGGCGCAGAATGAGCCAGTGCGATGGGGCCGCTCGGCCAGCCAACAACAGGAAAGTCGTGCCCTGGAAGTAGCCCAGGACAGACAGGCCGGAGCCCAACCTGCGAGCTTCAACGACGGACCCCGTACCTCGTTCACCCCACAGACTGACGCCCCAAGCGACGATGTCGAACAGTCTCCCCAGAGCTTAGGAGGTGACGACAGCTACCTTTCACAGGAGCAGTCGGGGGTGAATGAGGAGGAGCAAGAGGAGGAGTCCTCGTTCGTGACACCGTTGCTAAAGCCGCTGCCGGCAAAGTCCGCGTCACCGACCAAGTCGTGCTTGCGGCCAACGACAAAGCCTAAAACGCCGGGCCGCGTTGTTGAGTTTACAAGCAGCACGATGGCCGGCGCGAGCCAGGAAATTGCAGCGGTACGGGAGAGTCTAGACGCAACCGACCTCGAATTTGCTGAGCACTTTCAGCTCGACACAGATAATCGCCTGCCCTCGCCGGTCCTCACCGAACGCCCCGCAACGGAAGCCAACATCGAACGGGTCGGTGAGGATGGAGACGTCCGCATGTGGGACCGTAAGGAGGTTTCGCAGCAGGAAAGCCAAGGCCGGGGTTACGTTGTTGACCGGACGGTGTCCGACATCATGCTCGCAGACACCCACCAGATCAGCGTAACCCGGCCCTACCATCCAGTCCCGCAGACCTCGGCGGCTGCAGCGGTGGCGGGCGAGGGGTTTTTCTTCCCCTCAAACGCCATCGTGTACGCCCCTTGGGAAGCTCCCGCCAAGAACATACCTTTGCCGGGTCGAGCTTGGCAGCTCGAGGACTGGGTGGAGCTCAACAATGTGCTCCAGACCTACCGGCGCGAGGGCAAGGCCGACTTCGTGTCGAACCATCTGCTGGCACACCTGAGGGACGTCCGCAAGCATCCGGAATGGCCGGTCCCGGAGCGGGCAACAAAGGCGTCAGCTGATTTGCTCCACAAAGTGGTGCACACTGACCGCATTGCGATGCTGATTAAGAGTTGGCATCTCGACGTGGTCGACGTCTTTGCGCTCCGGGCCGGCCGAATCTGGAACGAGCACTACCTGGTGCGGCGTCTCTTCTCACTGTTAATCAGTGAGGAGAGCCGTGGTGCCTTCAAACCTTGGCGGCGGAGGCCCTAGAATCTTCTGCTAAGGGGCTTGTAACTCAGGTAGTGTTCGTGGGAGGAGGGGGCGCTGAAGGGGAACGAGGGGAGGGAAAGACGCATGTGTCTTGTTTTTGGGTGGCTTGATTGAGATTTACTTTGGCGCTTGTGCTTGCATTGTTTGGCGGATTTGCATTGTCTTGTGGCTTTGGCTGCGGCTTTGTCTTGTTCTGTCATGTTCTTGTCTTTTTTGATTTCTATTGTTTGGCCTATACTGGGGTGTCTTTTTGATTGATTGTTTGGAGATTGGTGTTTTCTTGTTTTTTCCCTGCATTGGCGGTTTCATTTGCACCAGCGGTTGGATTTATCATGATACCCCCCCTCGGCGAAAGGACAAACATGGCATTGGGATGGCGTTCAGCTGGGTTTACTTCGGCCGGTTCTGCAGTTTTGCATTTTGCATGGCCCTTACGACAGGAACGACAAAAACAAAGGGGAGGAGGGGGACGACCTGCCACCGAGTCCCCTCTTCCCACAAATTCTATATTATCACGATCTGTACAATAGCGACCTGATTTGGGGTTGCACAACATCTGGCCTCGTGAGAGGACCACACATCACACATCTATTTGGCATATCTTCTGGCGTCTGGGCGTGGCCACAAACAAAACATAGCATGTACATATCAGCGTGCGCATTTGGAGGCGATACCCTTATTGCCATTTTATTCAGCATGGTCTTCGTTGTCTTCCATACTTCTTCTGCCGGTTTTTGTTATATAGTTTAGCCTTCTCGACCTGCGGGGACGCAGTTGCACATATTAAGACACTTTTTGATCTTTCATAAGCGAAAGATGAGTTGTTTAAATTTGACAGGTTTCCTGACCGGATAAGATACGCATGGTACAAGCATACCTGGAATTATTGGTATTTTGTTACTGCGAAAGATTGGGACAGAAGATCGTAAACGCAAGAGGCCTCTCAAGCCAGACAAAGGCAAGACGCGCAAATAGCAAAAATAAAGTAAAGAAACCAAAAAATAGAACAAGTGAAGTGACTGAGGAGATGCAAAGGAAACGAAGAAAAGCAACAGCCAAAGTTCAATATAATAGGAACAAGAAATAAAAGTAGCCGAAACAGTAAATATAACAAGTAATGATAGTAGATAGGCAGAAGATAGGGGGAAACATATCCAAAAGATGGGGCAATTACAACAGCTAAAACAATCTGCGTTGCCGTTCACAGCTTCGACTCGTTTTGGCTCTCCACTACCGAGTCCAAAAAATGCACTATACACCTAACAACAGTCCACAGCTATACCCCCCACCAATGCAAACGCGTACACCTCTCGTTTAGTTGGCAACTTCCTCCTCCACCCAACCATTCAGGCCGCTCTGGATGGCCAGACCGAAGCCGGCGCCCATACCGCCAAAGCTGGCCTGGTACTGGTGGCCCCGGCGCTCGCCCTCACTGGCGCCGCCATTGGCGCCGCCGGGAACGCTGTTGGGGCTGGTGCCGCCGTTCTCAAAGCCAGGGGCCAGAACAGGAAGGCTCACGGCGCGGTTGTGCTGGCCGCGCGGGTTGCCGGGCGCCAATAGACCGCCAATCGTGGTCGTGCCGTTGGTCGTCGTAGCATTGCCGCCGTTGGCGTAGCCGTTGGACATGCTGGCCGACTGCTGGTGGCCAGAAATAATGGGACCCTGGGGCACCTCAATAGTCAGCTCGCTCGAGGGCGAGGCGGCGGTGCCAAAGAGTGCGGCCTGCTGGGCAACGAGCACCTGGTGCTGCTGCTGCTGCTGCTGCGCGGCCTGCTGCGAGACGTGGCTAAGGTACATGGTCAGAGCATTGTTGGTCGAGCTGAAGAGAGTGACGGCCGGCTGGTTGGGGTTGTTGCCAGGCGACGTGGTATTGGTCGGCGAGCCGCTGTTTTGGCTGGTCGAGCCGTTGGGCGGAGGCGACGCGATGCGGCCGGCCTCGTTGTGTGGGGACTGGGAGTTGGCGTTGTTGCCGTTGCCGGGTTGGAGCTGACGCGGAGCATTGCCGCAACGGTCCTTACCGAAATTGACCTTGAACTTTTTGTACTCCTCCTTGCTGCGGATAGCTTCAATGGCCTTGATAGCATTGGCAATGTTGGTAAAGTTGACAAACGCACAGCTCTTCTCACGGAGCGTATTGACCAGCTCAATTTCACCAAAATCGGCGAAGTCCTGGCGCAGGCGCTCCTCAGTCCACGTCTCATCGAGATTGCCAATATACACATTGCGCGACGCGCCGCCGCTCACGGCCAGGGCAATGGCCGGCGGCAGAGCACCCGAGTGCTTGCCCCAGCCGATCTTGAGGCGGCGGTTGTGGATCATGAGACCCTGCAGGTTGCTTAGGGCATAGAACGAGGCGGCCGCGGTCGGGTCGATGAAGGTGACAAAGCAAATGTGCTTGTCAGGGATGTAGCGGACGTGGTGCAGCAGGCCACCGCGAACGACGTTGCAAATCTCCTCAATTGTGGTCTCGGGATGAATGTTGCCCAGGTAGATGGTGCGGTTGCCCAGGTTACTGATGCCACCGGCAGTAGTGGCAACCGCAGCAGCAGCCACAGATTGCTGGGCCAGGGCGTTGGAGATGATGTCGCGATCGGCGCCGGTCAGCATATTGGCATAGCCAGGGGCAATGCCGAGGTACTGAGCGGCGTTCTGCTGCTGCGTCTTGGACACGTAGGCGCAGCGGTCCTTGCCGTAGTAGACACGACGCGGAGACTGCCAGTTGGGCTCTTGGGGCAGCTGGGTGACAGCCTTGATGGCGTTGGAGATGGACAAGAAGTGGATGAAAGCAATGTTCTTCTCGCGGACGAGTTTGATGGTGTCAATGGCACCAAACTTGCCCAGGTCCTCTCGAAGCTCATCCTCCGTGATCTCTTCAGGCAGATTGCCCAGGTACACATTGCGCGAGGCGCCCGACTGCTGGACAGCCAGCGCCACGGACGTGGGAACCTGGGACGGCTTGCCCCAGCCAACCTTGACATCCTGACCCTTGATGCAGAGCTTTTTCAAGATGGCATCAGAGTGGAAGTGGGTGGCGGAGCTTGCGTCGAGGAAGGAGATAAAGGCGCAGTTCTTGTCAGGCAGCATGCGGACGGACTCGATCTGACCACTGCGGACGTGGCTCAGAAGCTCGTCGGCGGGCGTGTCGGCGGGGATGTTGCCCAGGTAGACAGTGCGGCTGGTGCCGCTCACGACACCAGGCGACAGGCCCACTGGCGACGCGGCCTGCATGGGGACCTGGATCTGGCCGGCCACGTTGTTGAACGCACCGCTGGGCGATTGGGGCGAGTAGAACTGGGGTGCGCCGTAGGTCGAGGGTGAAACGATCGTCTGGTAGGCCTGGGGCGACATGTTCTGTTGGTCAGGGCTCTGTTGTCCATTAGTCTGGACGTTAAGTTGGCCATTGGCCTGCTGCTGCTGTTGCTGCTGCTGCTGTTGGGCCTGAAGCTGTGCCTGCTGGAGCTGCTGGGCCTGCTGGTAGCCGATCTGGCCCTGGAACTGGGAAGTGGCAAAGGCAGCCGGGGTACCCGGTTGAAAAGGGCTGCCAAGAAGCAACTGGGACGGAAGAAGAGATGTGAACTGCATGTCGAAGGCGGTGCCCGGGGTGGTCATGTCGGGCGCCGCGGCGGTGGTGGTCGGAGGAGGGGGCTGGTTCATGGACTGGGTGTTGATGCTGGGAATGTTCGCACGACGCGGGTGGCGGTCACCGAAGCCGCTGATGTTGGAGGTGAAGGCACCGTGGGAGAAACCGGTATCGCTGTTGGAGGGCTTGGAGGCGTGACCGAAGCGGCCGCCGTTGGGGCCAGGCTGGCTGACAGGGGCGTTCATGTCCTGCATCCCGAGCAGATGAGGGGGGACAAGGCTGTCCCGAGAAACGTGAGATAGGACCGCCGTTTTGACTGATGATTCGTACCCTGAAACCGGGCACGGAAGTGGTTCGTTGCGGGAGATCGAAGACAGGTGAGCGCGAAGTTGAAGCGAGGATATAGGGGAGAAGAAGGTGGTCGAGACGAAAGAGGTTGGAACCTAAACACGTCGGCGTCTAGAAAGCCGTTTGTCGATTCGGGAAAGCACACGGGCTTCTTGAAATGGGAAGAAAAGGGACGTAGGTAAACCAGGCGAGCCAAGAATTGAAGCGTAGAATTATGGGGTATCGAGGAACAAAAAGCTGATCATTTGTCGTCGAGACGAGCTGGTCGAGGTCGAAGGATTCGAAGCTGGACGGTCGTTTCGGGAAGACAAAATGTATCCAAGAAAAGTATTATAAACGGGCTGGCTGTGATGGTCGTGGATATGACCAGAGCAAAAGCCAAAGACTCTGGGTTGTTTTCGGCGGTATAGAACAAACAAATAAGTAAGAGATTGTAGGCGACAGAACAGAACACGGCGAGCGAGTGAGACGCTGTGAGCGAAGAGAATGTCTGCAAAGGTGTATCGAGCTAGGTGCAAAACTGCTCTTGAAGGAGATGGCGAGAAGTACCGAAGCAAAAAAGAATACGAGATCCCAAGTTCAGTCGAACGGAAACCAAGCGAAGGCGAACAAACGAGTGAGTTCGAATAACGGGGAGAATAAGCGAGCAGTGACGAATGGAAGAAGAAAAAGAAACGAAGAAGCAAGAAGCAAGAAGCAGAAGCTGGCAAAAGAGCCGGTTGAAGAATGAAAGTCGAACCACGAAGAAAGATGTGGATGACCAAGAAAGAAGAGGAGTAGAGAAGAGAGGCCGAGGAACGAAAAACGAGATCGAAAAAGAGAGAGTGAAGAGGTGAGGAAACGGGGAAAAGAGTGTGAATGAAAGAATGAAGAAAAGCGAGAGACGAAGAAGAAAGGAGTCGACAGACCAGACTGAGGGTAGAGATGGAGAAGGTGGAGGAGGCGAAGAAGAGGATCGTAGGGGCAAAGGAGGGAAAAGGTTAGAGTGAAGGACGCAGAATGGTGCAGAGAGGTGAGAGAGACAGAGAATGAGAAACAGGGGAGAGGCTAGCTGGATTGTGGAAAAGGGGGGGTGATGTTCCCGTTGGTCGCTTGTGGATTGCCCAAAGCGGACAGGAGACATTTAATTGGGGCGCGCTAAGTTTAATGAGGCCCGTTCAGGGGAAATCGGTGCTGGCTTTCTAAGGTGGGAAAGAGCCCTGGCTGGACCCATCAAGAAGGGAAGGCTCAAAGCACCCAAAGTACAGAAGGTGGCAGTAAGCAGGAAGGTGAGAAGGGATGCATGGCACTGTAAAGGATACTCATGCAGTTGAAAAGGACGAATGGAGAAGGTGCGCTCGACAGAGGCAAACATGGAGAGGACGCAGAGAACGTGCCGACGATGCACGGCAGGAACGACGGACACAATATGTGAAGCAGAAAACGTGACCATGAGCCGCAGTGAACGAGGAAGGCATGAATCTCGTCGACGAAGGCACACCCGATGAGCATAGGCATCGTCTCACTGACTAGCACAGACTACGATGACTTGGATCGTATTTTAATACCGTGCTGTTAGATGTGGACGACCGATGACAGGCACCGTGTGCCGACTGGTGACTTTGGAGAGAGCAATTGACCTCCGACCATCAGGCAATGCCTCTTTTTCCATGGACAAGCGGAGCCTGGCGTGTGGATTGCGCTAGCGGGCTAGTTCCTGTCTTTGTTTGCCAGATCCCGCTGGCGTCTTTGTTACTGAGGACACTAAGATTTCCAGGTTGTTTCTGCTGTTTCCGGGCGGGCATCGGTAAGGCTGGCGATGGCGTTGAGAGTCGACGTATACGAGGCATTGATGGCATTGGGGCATTCGGCACAGTGTCCCATTGGCGCATTGGGACGTGGCAGTGCGGACAGCAAGCACACGGCCCAGCGACGGATGAAAGATTACTGGTATGATGCCTTACATTGTGGGTTCTCTGTGCTGCTCAGAGGGAGGGCAAGACGGGGATAAATTGCGGCCCCCTCACAGATGGGATTTAAGATACGACATCTGGGGTCAAGTCCTTCTACCACATGTTGAAAAGGACACGGAATGCAAACGTCAATAGAGACGTGGTACATGTGCGGGAGAATGGAGTGAAGGGTCCTATGGGAGGTCAAGGAAAAGGGGAAGGAGAAAGGAAAAGAATGACAACGGCCTCGAAACAGTTAACAACGATGGTAATATCACGATCTATATAAGGCTGGAGATATAGGCACGTGTGGCCGGATATGAGTGCTGTTGCAGAGATGTCGAAATCCAGGTCATGCATTGCCAAATGCCTGAATGTGCGGTACATGTAGCCTCATTTGCACTCCTCGTCACTGCTTCGGAAAATGAAGTCGCGCAGGTCGTGATTTCCAACCCTGGACCGTATCGTCCAAGCGTCAGAGTGTCAGGGTCTTGAGGAAGGGCAGAGAGCCGTTGAGAATTCGTTCAGAAGGGGTTGACCCAGCGCCGAGACGGCTTACTGCTCATTTCCTGGCGTCATTTAGGACTTTTAGCGTCCCTATTTTCCTCTATTTTCCTCTATTCTCCTCTACTTTCCCAATTTGCACTTCTATCAATCTCTGGCTTCGTTTGGAAAGGCCACAAGTGTGCGTGCGATGGCGAGACTGGGGAACCGTCGAGCATGTTTTCCACGACTTCTGACGTAGAGCTAAGGTTAATAAGGGGTATTCTATGATCCCCATATTGTGGCGCATCTGTGCATCTGCTGATCACGGAAAATGCAAATCTCGAATGCGCATCAGCGTAGGAAACAGACCGGAATGCGTGCTCTGGCCTTTTTCCACGCTTCCCCCTTTCCTTCTTTCTCCCCAGCTTCTCCGGAGAATCGCGTTAATAATAGAATGTATTCTGCACTCGCCACACGCGTGCTCCGTAAAATAACTAGACAAGGCCCAGGGATCCGCTTCTCTCCTCTCGGGACTGGGCGAGACCCCGAAGAGAAAGAGCACGCCCTTCACAGGCCGTCCTTTGTAAAACGTCTTTCCCATTTCCTCCGCACTACGATTTACCTCGCCAGGCACAACATATTTGTGGCTTGGGCAAGGCAATGAGTGACAGCCAGCAGACGAGGATTCCAAGCTGGCAGAAGAATGATATGACGGACGACGGTGAGGTTGGCCAAAGAAGTTGAAGAAACATGAGAAGAAAAAGAAGAAGTGGAGAAACGATGTAATATACGATACGTCTCTTACGACGTACCTGTCCTCCTCGGCTTCTCGAGTATCGTTGTGCCTCGCGTGCAACCCAACTCGATTGAGGCTCAGGGCCTTTCCCCCCTTTTTCAAAATTAAAGCCACAATGTGGAAAGTCGCACACAGCATGACGAGCCGTCACCATGTTCCCCTGGCTGGAAATCAACGGCGACGACAGTGGCTGCGACGCTGCGACGCTGCGACTCGTGTGACTCGCAACTCCATGCTGGGTACGACATACATTAAACAGGACACCAAAAGAAGCGCCGGAGGAGCAGCAGGCGTACATCGTAGTCAAAAGTGTGCGAGAAGGAACAGGGACCCGGATGAAGGCATGAGTAAGGGAGACGATTCCACCTCGGGCAAAGCAAAGGTCAGGGGCGGAAGACCCAACCCAGCCTTGTGGACGTCCTCAGGGCGGAGGTAATCTTATTGTGAGATGCTGCATGCTGTAATGCTTGGTAGCCTTGTTCAACGAACGACGGCGCGCACAATATTTCATTCAGAATTGTTTTGCGTCGTATCCTGCTCAGGGGTTCACCACAGCTCCGGGTAAGATACAAAGTACAGAGTAGCACGCACAGAAACAACTCTGTATCTCGATGTTTGGTCAAGGATTGGCAACACAAGCGGCAGACGGTTTCTTCATCAGAAAACGGGCGGATGGATGGCTGGCCCAAATGGCCGGTCCAAATGGCTGGTCCAAAGAGTGAAGAATCGCTCGGGTGCACAGAGGGCATTGCACCTTCCCAAACAGACTCAGCGAAGTGGTCCACTGGGCGCTGCAGGGCCCGTTTGGCGTAATGCAGGAACGTGCATAAGGGGGATGCCAAAAGGAAAAAGCGGAGAAGAGACGAGAGAAGAGGAAATAATACAACATACAAAAAGAGCAGTCGACAAAAGGAAAGGACGGCCCAAGAGTGAACAGATGGAAAGACCAAAGCACAGGCACACCAGCAGCCAGAGGGAAAGAACCATGGGGGAGCCTCGCTTTGGCCTGGTCACCCGGATGATCGATGTTTGAGGAAGGAACCAGTACGCACCCCTTGGCTTGGGCGACGACGATCTAGAACGGAGAACCGCACCGGCATGCATGAAGCACGCTTGGCCTATAGTACTCTGTTCACGGCCAAAAACGTTTCACAATCTCCGTCTCCGCTACAAACGAGCTCATACACAACTGCAGCGTTTACATCAATTTCATTATTCTTTTCATAGTCTCGCATGCGGTTTTCACCCATCCCTTCCATTTTTCACCGTGACCTCTTTTTCTATCAAACAACAATGCAGTCTCTAATTCCCGTCTTCCCCTCCAAACGTTGCTCCAGCGGCTGCCATCGCCTTACGGCTTCGCGCGGCCCATGAAGCGCGGGTACAGGGAGCATGTGCGGACGGTGTGCTGGTTGGCAAGCCAGGCCAGCAGGCGCTCCAGGCCCAGACCGTAGCCACCGTGCGGGCTCGTGCCGTACTTGCGCTGGTCCAGGTACCAGTAGTACGGCTCCGGGTTGAGGCCCTTGTTCTTAAAGGCCGCCATCAGCTCGTCGTAGTCGTCCATGCGCATCGAGCCGCCCACAATCTCGCCCACGTTGGGCATCAGCACGTCGACACTCTCGGTGACGCGCGGATCGTCGGGGTCCTTCTTCATATAGAACGCCTTGACCTCGACGGGGAAGTGCGTCAGGAGCACCGGCACGTTGAGCGTGTCGACCATCTTGCGCTCGGCCGCCTCGGCAATGTCGTCGCCAAACACGTGCGGCTGGCCCTCCTCGTTCAGCACCGGCGGGTCTTGCGCGTTGAGCCAGTCGATGGCGTCCGTGTACTTCATGCGCTTGAACGGGCGCGCCGGCTTGACGAAGCCGGGGTGCAGCAGCTCCACCAGCTCCTTGCCGGCCGGGTCCGCCAGCACCGCGTCCACGACGCTGCAGATCATGTCCTCAATGTGCTCCAGCATGTCGTCAAAGACAATGGCGTCGAGCTCGGCCTCAATGTGCGTGTATTCGGACAGGTGGCGGCGCGTCAGCGACTTCTCGGCGCGGAACGACTTCTCGATGCAGTAGACATCGCCCATGCTCGGCAGGCACGTCTCCAGGTACAGCTGCGACGACTGCGTCAGGTAGGCGTCATCGTTGTAGTACGGCACGCGGAACAGCGTCGCGCCGCCCTCGACCTGCGTCTGCACAAACGCCGGCGGCGAGACGGCCACGATGCGCCGCGCCTTGAAGTTGAGAACAAACGCCTCGTACAGCACCGACCGCAGCTTCATCACGGCCGACGCCTTGTCGCCGCGCAGCACCAGGTGCCGCTTGTCCAGCATGTCCGACTCCCACGGGTCCTGCTGGCCCGATGCCACAATGTTCGTAATCGCCTCCGCATCGCCCGGCGCGCGTCCGTACACCTCGTAGTAGTCCACGTGCAGCTCGCGGCCGTCGGGCGCCGTCGCACCCGCCGGCACCGTGCGCAGCTCGCCAAACAAGAACAGCGACGTCTCCTGCGCAAACAGCAGCGCCTCGTACGTCGACGTCAGCGGGCCCGCCGCAATGACGCACTGCAGGAACCCGTAGCCGTCCTTGAGCGTCAAAAACGTCGCCTGCTTCTGCACGCGCAGCCGGTGGATGTGCCCAAACACGCGCACCCGCGTGCCCTTGACGCCCGTCGCCGGGTCGCCCAGCGGCACGTCCTTTTGCCACAGCTTGATCGTCTGCGCCTTGGGCAGGGCCGGGTCCTCCTGGATGGTCACCGACTTCGCCGCCTCCAGGTTCTTGGCCCGCTGCTGCTTCTGCTCCTCCTCCTTGGCCAGCGTCTGCTCGGCCCGCGCCAGCTTCTTCTTGTGCCCGTCCAGCAGCGTCTGTGCCTTCTTGGCCGCGCTCTTGGCCGGCGCCTTCCATTGCAGACGAGCCGCCTCGTCGGCCGCGTCACCACCGGCTGGCGTCGTCGTCGACGAGCGCATCAGGTACGCCTTTGCAGGCTTGTCCAGGTTCTGAATGTACGCGTGGGCCAGCGACTTGAACGGCTTGGCCTCGGTGCCGTCGGCCGACTCGTCGTCCTTGCCGACATCTGTGTCGATGTAGACCGGCGGTGCCTCCACCTTGTCGACGCGCACGGCGGGTTCCGGAGCCGATGCCATAGTAGGAGGGAGGGAGAGAGATGGCAGGGGGTAATTTCGTCTGGTGTTGTTTGTTGATCTTGCTGTCTCGTAGATTGCCAATTGCTCTGCGCCGGAGGGGACAAAAGTCAGTAAAACGTATGTGCCAAACGGCAAAGCAGAAGCGTCGTCAATCCTACACTTACATGAGCACCAATTGTCTATCGCGGGCGTGGTTGCGTGGTCTGGGGAGAGAAAACGAAAAAAGAGACAGGAGAACGGGAAGAAAAGAGATATCCAGTGGTGGGGTTATCAGAGATAAAATATTGCTAGGGCGAACCAGCGCTGGATGAGGGCAGCGCAGGCGCAAAATTGGGGCGGGGCTGGTTGCCAGTCGCTCTGACTCGTCGTCTTTTGCTCGCGCTTCTGAGTCACAGCTATTTCTGTGGGCAGGAGACAGCGAGACAGCAAAACGACCGGTTTCAGATTGAGATTGAGCCTGGGACCGAGTCACCGCGATCATACAACGCCGTATGGAGCGATAACGACGGGGCAGGTCATGTACGACACATGAAGAGTAAAATTGATCTCATTTGGTTTTTCTTTTCCCTTGGCGGATTGTTTGAGTCTTGTTTTCACATTTGGCAGCAACGGGAATTCAAAGAGTTGGTTGGAGTTGTCATTCTCTTTGCGTTCTTACATGGACAATCCAGCCGCGTTGTTATCTTTCTCCATGGCCTTTGCCAGACCCCCCTGATAAGAAGATGAGACAAGGAGAGGTCACGAATGCCGTTTGGTACGATACGTGGGTACAGTGGGCTGGCCTTATCGCTGCCGCAGATGACTTGTCGTCTCTTGCTTTCCCTTCTTCAAGCCAGGTTTGTTAACTCGTCTCTTTTCACACCGGTCTCTATCACAGCTCATCCACAACGCGCTCCTTCTTGGACGGCTTAGACGACACAGACTCTGCCGCCGTCTTCTCATACACGAGGCCTTCTTTGCCCATGCCTGCCATACCACGCTTCACCATCGAACTCATGATTTCGTAGACCACCTGCGCTGCCGCCAGCGCCGTCTCCTCGCCGGGGCCCTGGTAGGCCGGTGCCACCTCAACCACATCCGCACCCACAATGTTGAGCCCCTCGAGTCCCCGCAGGATCCGAATCAACTCACGCGTTGTCCAGCCGCCAGGCTCGGGCGTGCCGGTGCCGGGCGCAAACGCCGGGTCCAGCACGTCAATGTCGACGGAGAGGTAGACCGGATCGTCGTTGTCGCCAATGGCTGCAAGGATGGCTGCGAGCACAGCATTGGCGCCGCCCATGTCGTCCAGATCATCGGCGCTCAGGCGCACCCAGTTCTGCCGGTCGTCGTCGTAGTAGTCGTCAAAGTCGTCGCCGGTGAGTCGTGTGCGCAGGCCGGCGTGCACAGAGGGCGCACCGGTCGCGTTCGTGAGCAGGCCTTCCTGGCCGGCGACCCAGAACATGGAGCCGTGGTTGTAACGCGACTGCTCCGACGGCCACGCCGACGGGTACTTGTCAGGGTGCCACGTATCCAAGTGGGCTACTGACTGTCAGATGACGGGGACACGAACACGTGGTACAGACTCTGCTCCTGCTACGTACCATCAAAATGAATCACCCGCAGCTGCCCATATGCGGCATGTAGAGCCCGCAGGGCCGGCAGGGCCAGACTGTGGTCACCGCCCAGCGTGATCAGCTTCGGTCGCTGCAGGACCGTAGCCGACGCTGGCGGCCGCTTGCCGAGCTCCACAAATGCTTCGGACATCTGCTGCACGGCCACCACGTTGTCCATGGGCGTAATGGGGATGTCGCCGCAGTCGAGGATGCGCGCCCAGCTGCGGTAGGGGTTGATGCCTGCTCGCTGGTTGAAGCCGCGGAGGGCCGTCTGCCGACTCGAGGCTTGGCGGATGGCACGGGGTCCAAACCGCGCGCCAGGCCGGTAGGACACGGCCGTGTCAAAGGGCGCCCCGATAATTGCAATATCGTAGAGTTCCTCCGGGTTCGTGAGGCATTTCGCGTATTCGAGGTGCCCAAAGGAGCCGATGCCGTTAAAGGACCACTAACGAAAACACTTGGTGAGCAACATCCGCTACATGTGTGCGGTCTACCCATGTCTTATGCCTCTTACCTCGCTGCCCCATTTGCGTTGAAGCTCGTCGAGATACTCCTTGGAGAATGGCGTGTCGTCGTGGCCGTGACGGTGATGGCCGCAGGCCTCAGTTGGGCTCACAGCAGCGAGTGCGGCCACAATGGCCAGCACCCATGCGCGGACGCTTGATGGTGGCATTGAGAATGCTTGTAAGGTATGGCAAGATGCAGAAATGG